GTATTGTCGAAGTTATTGCTGGTGATGACACTGATGCTAGCACTAATGGTGTGAGACTAAGGTGGATATTTTTGGGAGTTCTGATTAATGTACATTTCCAGATTGTGTGTTTTTGTGCCAAATGAGATTCTTGTGACTCCAGTTTGGTTCTTGAGTGTTTGAGACTACTGTGGAAGTAATTAAAGTCAGTGTCGCTGGGAACAGAGGTCTTTCACAATGAAGGCTGTTCCATATTCCAACCATCACAAGATAGTCATCTTTGTGGCTGTAACTGCAGAGGGTGAGTTCTGTTGCTTGGAAATAAAATAGCAACCAGCTGGCACCTCCACACCCATCTCAGCTCATCTGTCTTTTAGCTCCCATCTTGCCAAGTGCTCTCCTCAACAGCCTCCCATCCCCCATCCTCCCATCCCCATCCTACACGAACCATCCAAATAACAGCAGCTTCTGTCTGAAACCACATCAATTCTCATTCACCCACTGCCCTGTGCTCACTGACCAAAAACAGCTGACAAGGCCAGGATTTTAAAATTCCCATTTTTGTTAGGAAATCCCTCCATAGCAGCACTACCACCAACACCACCCACCGCAACCCCACCCCCCCCCCCCCCCCCCTCATTTCTCTGCCAAGAACCATTTCTATTCCCAAACATTCTTTCTGCTCCTCCAAGTCTGGCCTCTGGTATATTTTTAATTTCAATCGTTGGATTCTTGGCAGTTGACAATCAGTCACCAAGAACCTAAACTCTAGAATCCCCTCCCTATAATGTTGTATAATGTAATGGCCTAAGACCATACTAGTCTGAAAACACCTGATCTTGGAAGCTAAGCAAGCTCAGCCCTGGTTAGTGCTTGGATGGGATACCATCTGGGAACACTAGGTGCAGTAGTCTTGGGTCCCTCTTGTGATGGTGTGGTAGTGTCCCTGCCCCTGGACTGGGAGGACCATCTAAGTTGCAAGTCTCACCTACTCCAGAGGTGTGTAATAACATCTCTGAATAGGTTGATTAGAAAAAAATAGGTTAAATTAAAAATAAATAAATAATAGGCTTGAAAGGGTTAATGCTGAAGACTGTAATTAGTATCACATAATCTGATGGTGTCATGTGGACTTTGGTGTGGGAAAGATTGGAATCCTGTAGATGAAAAATCTATATGCTAGGTCTCCTGAAAATCTTAATAACATTGTTTACCTTACTGATATGACTTGTACCTGATTGCTATCATTCAATAAGGATTATGATATCATTCATTATTGATCAATAATTAAACTACACCTTGATAAAGACAAGAATCTGTTTTCATTAAGCCTCTCTAGTGATTTTCCTTCACACGTGTAAAAATCTCAGTGCTTAGAGCCACTCAAGGAAAGAGGATGGTGACAGTAAATGACCCCAACCACAAACTGGTTGGCATCACAACAGATACATTCTCTTCTCTCCTTCTCTTTCTGTAAGATGCTACTTTAAATGTACCATTGGCCAATCTTTTTGTCAGCTGTCCTGATACTGCCAGCTGGTTCAGGGTCTTTAAAAAATAATTATGCTCTTTTGAAGTACCTTGGAAGGTTTAATACATTAGAGGCACTATATAAATGCATGTTGTTGCTGTCGAATAGTTGGTCTGCTGCATTAGGCACTGTTACTTGGTGATAAGATTAGACGCATATCCAAAGGAGCTAAGGTTTTGCAGGGACCTAGTGGTAATATGGTGCCATCTTCATGTGGACAACTTCAAGACAATATGCATGGCTCACCACATTTGGCCATTGAAGTTAATGCAGTTCACAATGTGTATATGTCGGGCTGCTTCCAGGCTAGCTGCTGGAGACACCTGTCAATGGGTTTACTGTCCACAGGCGTATCCACTAGTTTACAGTTCACCTTTGTCACTGGAAGCCTCTTGCTAGCAATGCAATTCTAAAGGCCTGCTGGCTTAATAGGGACCAGGGACTCATAAATAAAAGTAAAATACTGTGGATGCTGGAAATCTGAAATAATAACAGAGTGCTGGAGAAACTCAGCGGGTCTGGCGGTATCTGTGGAGAGGGAAACAGAGTTAACATTTCTGGTATAATAACTATTCTTTTTAACTCATTCTTCAGAGTTCTGAAGAAGAGTCACACTCTGTCTTTCTGATTTTATTCCAAGGAATCATTGATTCTGCCCATGTTATATTCAAGCTCCTTTGCAGAATGAGTCTTGGATTTACCAAAGAGGATTTTGACTTCTAATGTCAGTGTGGACATTATATATGAGGAGCTGTGCAGAAAGATGTAGCCTATTTTCAATGTGCTCCTGCGATACCTCGTGCCTCTGGAACCTTTCATTGACTGTTTGTAGCAATCCAGGCAGCACCTGGCTCATAAAACAGACTTCTCTCACTTTGTAATATCCGATTCTGCACCGTTTAGGTTCCGATAAACATTTACATTTCCTGGTGTTGTTTCAGGTGTTGAATAACCTCTTTTTTGCAATTTGTGGATAATGAGCAGGAATGGCACTCCTCACTTTCGATTGGCTTGGCATGCTTTTTGGGAAATAAAAGCCGGCACATTTCCCCACAGACTGACAACAGCAAAATACACGTGGAACAGGCTAACTCTAACAGACATCCAGTAATCCACAGTTAACCAGTGATGCAGCAATCTATAGACTGATTTATCTAATGGGTCTTTTCATAATAGTTGATGTTGATAAATGTTTGAAACTCTAAACGGAAGTGCCAGCTGTGTGAGATGAAGAAAATATTCTTTAAGAGTAAAATATTCCCGTATGCCAAAGTTTTAGAAATTCTTTCTTTGAAAATCAGACTTGTCCATTTGTTTGGAGAGGAAGTATACCCATTCTCAACTCTAAACATGACTAAAGAGTTAAGCTACGTTGCGCTGAGCCATGCAGTTCACGTCTGTACCACAGGTGGCTCCATTCTCTCATATATTAATCCACTATCACGTGATCATCTTTTTGTGCAATGTTATTGGTAACCGAAGGGATCCCATATTATATGTTTTAACACAGAACCTATTCAGAGGGTGTACAAAATAATTCAGACAGTGGCATTGCTCCAAGGATTGTGGTCTACCACTTTAATTGACTTCCATTACGTGCCTTGCCTGAATGTCTCTAAATTTTATCAAAAGTACAGTAGATTCTCAGAAGCCCATACTTAATGTTTCCATGGTCTGTGGCAGTGCTAGTAATTTGCCTTAACTGCAGCAATTATTTGTACTAACAGTGCACTTTTTTTATATTAATGATTTCACCTCGCTGCGTCTGTGAGATGAGAAAGATACAGAGAGCTGTAGAAGCTGACATTAGAAATGTCTGCCTTGCAAATCTCACAATGATGAAGCCTCATATTACGTAATTGCAAAAATAACTCAAAACTGCTTTTAGTCTCTGCAATTAGATTCATAACAAACAAATAGGCCCCTCATCTTGCAAAAGGAAATTCACAATGATCTGATGCCAAATCAAGTATGGTTAGTAACTGTGTGAGATTGGCTGGGAGGGGGCTGAGGCAAGTCACAGTGTCAAGCCCCATTGCAGGACTGAACACAAGATCTCAACTAACAACATCAGTGCTGTACAGAAGGAATGCTACACTGTCAGGTGTGCTGTCAGTCAAATGCAATGTTAAATGAAAGCCCTGCTCAGTTGTTTAGGTGGATGGTCAAGATCCTATGGCATTATTTGAAAAAGAACTGGGAGCCTCCTTGATTTGGGGCCAAAAAGTTATTCACCCAGCTAACACCACATAAATAAGATTGTCTGGCATAAAACAAAGAACTGCGGATGCTGGAGATCTGAAACAAAATCAGAAACTGCCGGCAAAACTCATCAGGTGAAGAGCCACCTGACTCAAAACGTTAACTCTGCTTTCTCCCCACAGATGTTGCCAGACCTGTTGAGTTTTAAGGGCAATATCTCTTTTTGTAACAATTATCTAACCATTGACCTTATTGCTATTTTATTGGTCCATCTATGCGGAAAGTGGCTTAAATGTTTGCCTAAATATCAACAGTGACCACACTTCAAAAGTAATTAATTGACTTTAAAGTATTTTGGGACATGATGGGAATGTATTATATGAGTGTAAGTTTCTCCTTTAACTCAGTATAAAGTTAATGCTGTTTGAATATATTATTACACAAATATGGCGTCAGTTGCTGTACAAATTTTTAAAGTAGAATATACCATATCAAGCCTTGTGGTGAAGTTAGATGAGTTTCATATGAGATTTGTTGGCAAAGTTATTTGAATGACTGTTGTTACTGCATGGAGGAGTGAGGTAAGAACAGATTATGACATTTTAGCTGTGATAGCTTCACATATAAATGATTAACTTTAGGGTGCAAAGGTGTTTTCTGATTTATAATGTAAAGAAATGTTGTTTAAAAACTGCCAATAACTTTTAAAAGCATGAATTTGCTGATCAGCCAGAGTCCAATTTCTAAAATTGGAGTGTCAGTGGTGGGAGATGGTGGGGGAGAGAGAAAACATTTTGCTTAAGAGGGGCTCTTGCTCTTCCAGCTTTGTGTGTGATTTTTAGTTATTTTTCTCTTGAAAACTTTTATCTATATTTTGAATCTGGATTAATTCAGTGCCTGAATTGTACTGAGTGGGAGTGGATTGCTTCAGATAGCAATCTTATGTTTGATAAATGTGCCTTTAATCAGCTGATTTATGTGCCTTGTGGCTGCTTAATTATTTAAAAGTTTGTCCTGTACTACAATACAAATTATTTGGAAGTATTTAATGCCTTTGACTTGCCTGACTTGTTTATTCCTTTTGTTGCTTACACAGTTTCATAAATGAACTTTGTTCTTCTTCCCTGTAACTTTTCTGCTGCTTTCAATATCTCTTTAGTAGTGTGCAGGACAATTTTGGTTAGTGGTATCTTACTACTATTTAATCAACATTTAATTTCCCTTGTTTATGGGAATCTGTCGCTGCCAAATATTTTAAAACAGTGGTCTCTTTTTTTCCTACATTTAGTTGCCATTTGATTTGATGAATTTGGAACAGGGTTAAAAGGCCGAGTCTGAAAAAGACTGTAACATTATAGATGGGAACGTGCAGTAAAGAGTGGAATTTTGCAATCAGCGATGAAGCAACAGTGGCTCACCACGACCTCAAGGACAGCTGCCCAAAAATAACAAGCAAACTCTGTGTCATGGATTTCCCTTTTCATGACATTTGTTTGAATCTGGAACTAAATCAGGGGGATTGCCTGGTGCTAAGCAACTGTGATGCAATGAAGCAGGGCAAACAACCAATCACATTGAAGTATTCTCATAGACAACAAACTAGGAGGTAAAGTACACTGATTATCCTTCAGTTTTAATTACATTTTACAGAGAACAAATTGAGATATACAGGTGGGATTAAAGTTGAAGCTGAAATGTCATAACTTTTTATAGAGTTATTATTTTAATGTGGAATATTTATCATTATAAAATATTTGACATTACACAAAGTCCTTCAGGAGCAAGGTAACAATTCAACCATAAATATAAAGTTAATACACCAGTTACACCTCATTCAACAAGGTTCAAATTATTCAAGGTTTTTATTATAGTGAAACTTAGATGATAGAAGGCAACTTCTTGCATGTTCAATCATTTCTATTTGGGCACGGTTGGTGGGGACTTCAACGGTATACTCTCTGAGAAAATGTAAAACAATTGGCAGAAATGCCTGAATTTCCACTTTGAAGTGTACATGTGCAGATTCCCAGAATTCCACTGAAACATAAATGGAGAATGCTGACAGTTCCACGATAATTTTGACCTCAAATTCAGGGCCATTTCATCAAAACTGGCCAGCAGACACCTGCACCAGTTGCAGGCTGCAATCTGATAAACTTTCACACAACGTTCTGCACCGACTGTTTTAAGTAAGAAAAAAACTGACATTCTGGGCTTTTACCTTGCCAATTGGGGATAAGTCCGAAGGTGGCTCCCTGTGAAACGTTTTCAGCTATATTTGGTTTGTCAAGAGAATACATTTAACACGGCTTCATGTTTTTTTATAACATTTGAATCCATTATTTTTCAGTATTATTCAATTGGATCATTAGACAAGAGGCTATGAATGTAGTCTCAACTATTTAAGGCAAGACAAGCTGGATACAAATATCTCAGAGGCTGTGACTGAAACAGATTAAGGATGTTAAAGGAAATGAAGGTATTGGACTAAGAGTTGCTTGAACTCTTAAGGCAGCAAGTAATCGAGGTGGTAGGATTCTTGCTCAGCATTTGGAGAGTGGCAGAGGATCTGTCGAAATCAGTGCCTCACAGACACACAAATGGTCAGTTGGAGCGCCTCTCTGAGATCAAGGACACCAGTTCCTGAGATCCTGCCCACAAGAGCAGCAGATAAATGGGGGTTGGTGGCTGCCATTGTTGGCAGCAGCACCAGAGGAGTGGTGATAGTGTTGGCAATGTACCAGGGATCACCAAAGGATTCATGCCACAGGTAAGTGAGGCTGCGCTGCAAGAGGGACACCCCCTGGGAGCCTGCAAGCCACTTTGAGAGGATCCGCATTCTTAGTGACTATCCCACCTGTCGAATGACCAGCGGTGACATGATGAGGCTCAGTGACGGACTTCAATTGGAAGCCAGCAAGGGTGGAAGGCCATCCACTGAGCTTCCCACCACAGGCTTAATTGAGTCAGAGCTGGGAAGATGGCACAGTCTCCACCTGGCAGTCTCCTGCCTGAACAACACCCCCACACCTCCAATCTCACACCTGCAGAGGGCATTAAATTCTGTCCGATGCAAGGATGGATTTAAAGGGTAAGACAGGAGTCGTATCAACAAGGTAGCCGCGCAATTTAGAATATTTTGCCTGTGAGACCTTCTTTTGAAGGAACTCGGAAGAAAAGTGTGAAGTGAATCCTTTTGTTTTGAGGGATTCTGGTTAAGATTGGGCCCTCAGCCCTTCTCACCCAAAGGCACTAACTCATTATGAGACATAGTTCCCAAGTTGTAAACAACTCTCTGGCACTCCATGAGCGAATCAAAAACATGAATAGACAATGTATTACAGCCAAACTCAAACTTGTTCCCATCAAATATCCTCCATATATGTACAATTTGCAGTTTTACATCACTCTACCTGGTCTTCCTTGTTGTTGGACACTGCAGCTCATTGTAATACCATTCATGCGCTTTGGCTTCGATGAGCTCTCTCAGCAGAGTTAGGCATTAAGACAGAAAGCCTCTTGGTCTGCATGGGATACTAACACACCTAGAAGGGCATCTTTCCTATGAGCTAACATGAGAATTATAATTTGATTAATGTTTAAAGGTCAAAATCATATTTCTAGATCAAAATTGTCAAGTAAAATTATAGGTAGCATCATTATTCACCCATGTGTGCAGCATTTATTTTAATCTTTCCTCATAGATTCCAACACAGCTTTCCTCTAAATTCCACTGATGCAAGTGAAATGTTAATGTCTGAATTTTACATCTCCCTGCGTTCTGCAAGGACAACCGCATTGAATATTTTGAGATAGAGCCCAAAATGGGTGCAAACTCTCCCTGATAGTACGGATTTGTAGATTTGTGATTGGAAATCTGATGATTCTGAAACTAATTAAATGGTTGTGGTATTCATTTAAAAGGGCATTAAAAGATTAATGGTAGCCAAATGTTGTTGTCTTTTTGTATAGGGATATGGTGGAGCAAGAGATGGATGAAACATTCAAATGTGTAGATGCAACAACTAACGTGCAATGGAAAGCTGTAGGAGAGAAGGACGATTTCCATTTTGACATATCAGGGCACCCTTTTCGTAAGTCACTGCTTTCAAGGTCCCAGAGGCATTGCCACATAATTACAAAGCATCATACTTAAATAAATCATTTTTGGTAAAGCTATCCACCAGTACCTTAAACAAAATAGATGGTCAAAGCGCTCATGTATTTCCTCACACAACCTTACACGTTGATATCCCATTCAAAGCACTCAGAAATCCTTCCAGTTATGTTTTAAATGTCCATACCGCAACGACCACCAAATTTCATTTGCAACTTATCATCGATACTCTTCACCCAGTTACATTTTACATCTTAAAAACAACACCAAAAATACATCCTGTGTGATTCATGTTGATATACTCACAGTCATGATGAGATACAGGAATGTCATTTATGTGCCCTTCAGCAATTCCAAGAACAACAACGCTACCTCAGCCCATCTGCTATTGAGTCACCTTCTGACTTGAGGATTTCAGTACAATTCTGGCTGTTTCCATTCTTCTCTGTACACTTCAGCTAACGCAAACCTTGGATTCCTTTAGCCTACCCTCAAAGATCCATTTGCCCATTACTCCTGTGTTCGCTAATCTACATGGATTGCCAGTCCCTCATGCTTCGAATTTAAAGTTCTTTAAGTTTAAATTGTTCAATGATCTTGGCCATCCCTACATTGCTTTGAACTTTCCATTCCTCTGACTTAAGCCTCACAGCCTCAATGAAATCACAGGTGAAACAACAGCACTGTTTGTAAGGTGTTTTATGCTATTCAGAATTCTCTAGTCCTTGCAGGCCCAATCCATAACCCATATTGAAGATGCTGATTGGAGTGTGTACCTGAATATTTATAGTGAGTCATTCATAATTGTCGATTTGGCCCCCAAGTGTTTCTATCAATGGAGTATGAGTGTTTGTTTGCAAGTTTCAAAGCCTCTTTGCTCCTCTTCCTTTCAATTTACAAAAGCCAGTGGCCCAAACTGGATAATTAAACTTCAAAATAACATTGTAATGTCAATGACTGAATACTTGATGTTCCAGATGAAATTATTTGGTTCAGGTTTGGTGCTGGAGTTAATCCATTTATAAATAAACAGATTAATGTCACTGTTAAGATGCAATTGGCAACAGTGAGTTCTGAATCTCTCTAATAAGTGGTGACTGGCTTATTACTGCTCATTTGCATTTCATTATTAGCTAATCTCATTTCATTAAATGCCACCAAGAAGTGAGATGGCGCCAATTCCAGACGGGAATTGTGAAGTGGATAGCTGGTGGATGTATTTTGCCATTTGCTTCTTTCAATCTCCAGTTGAAGCTCCATTCATCAACATTGTATTGCATGTTGCAGGGGCAGAGATTCATTCATCGTTTACAGGCGTCGATATAACACTAACCGTAACACATCATCATAGTTGATCTCAGACTAATTCATTATAGACTTTACCACTGCACTTCGGAGCTAACAGGCACCTTACCTTGCAATGATCTTGCCAGGTCTCTCTGCGCAGAGGGATAAACGCACATCTTATGCAACTGCACATGAATGCACCTTATGGCTCTGAGCTTGCTTTCTTAACACTCACTCACTTTGCAGTTACTTGGATGCTCACAACATCTCTGGCTTGCCTTGCTTTTTCAGGGCAGACAGAAAAACTGGTAGCTTGTCATACTTGCCAGCTTGGATCAGTTAAGTGGGTGGACATATTGCTGTAAGCATCATACTGTGTCAAGTCACAATTACAGAATGTGGTAGCAAGCACACTGCAGGTGTTTCAATCTAAAGGCCCTGTCTGAAAGTCTAAAGAGAACAGCCCTTAGTGAAGAGAAAGGGCACTACGGTCAGCTAAGAGGGTCCTGTAATAATCGGTCAATGGCATCGACTGATCTCAGGCCAAGGGATCAATCAGGCACCCAGTGTGATCGAGGTTCAGAGATCCATATCACTGGATCTTGGGGACTGGGCCACAATCAGCCCTGCAGGACAACTACAACTAGTCAAGTCAGTACAGGAACATTAGTCCGGGAACAGTGGAGACATCAGTCCAGCTGCTGGGCCATGTTGTGTTGGAGCTCTCAAGTTAATCCAGAGGGTCTGGGCTACAATTCAGTCAGTCCTGTGTGTCTGGGCAGTAAATGTCAAATAGACAGTCCATGCAGTGCAGTGGAAAGTGGGAAACTCTAGTTTGGGGGTAGGCTGCATTATGCTGTGATACTAAACGTATAATGACAGTGAAAGAGGGAAACATAAGTTGAATCTGATACAGCATTGTTGGCACAGAATACTGTGGGAAGGGGAGTGTTCACAAGTCATCAGCATCCACATTTTTCCCTTTCTACTTTATCCAGCCCCCTGGTGACTTTGTAAGCCGCTCTTAGATCTCCTCTCAGCCTGCTTCATTCCAAGTAGAAGAGCCCCAAACTCTTCATTCTCTCTTCATAACTGAAGTTTGTCACCCCTGGATCATTCTTGGTAATCTCTTCTTCATTCTTTCTCATGTGTTCACATCCTTCCTTAAGTGTGACAGCTGGAATGAAACAATTCTCCAACTGTTACTTCTATGTTCTTATACTCTATGCCCTTATTAGGCAATTATTAGGATACTGTATGCTTTATTAATTGCTCTCTCCCTCTCCATCTATCCTGTACCTTCAATGATCTGTGTGTCCCCCTTAGAATTGTACCTTCTATGTAATATGTTCTGTCCATGATCTTCCTACCAAAATGCATCACCTCATACTTCTCTATATTGAACTTTGTCTACCATCTATATGTCCCCTCCACCAACTTGTATTGTCCTTTTGGAGTTCTATACCATATTCCTCACAGTTTATAATGATTCCAAGTTTGTTATCATCCACAAATTTTGAAATTATCCCCCTCCTGTCAAGATCTAGATCATTAATATAAATATGGGTCGGCAAGGGTCCCAATACTGATGCCTGGAGGAACTCCACTACAAACATTTCTCCAGCTAACAAATGTAGGGGAGAGTCTTCCAGGGGTTTGGAAGGGATTGGTTTTGGCGAGATATGTGGCAGAATCAGGCAACAAATCCAACAAGGCCCATCTCAACGCTGAGATCATTTTGGTCCATCTTTTTTGCTTTTGACTGCTAGGCAGTAGAGAGATTGATAGGGATTATTACTTGTTATTCAATCTGCCATTTTACCAAACACTCTGACATCTCTCTGTAAGTTCCCTGCAGATCTGCATCCTTCCCACTATTTGGTGATCAATCGCCTCCTTGAAATCTCTGGGACATCCTCTTTCTTCAGCACTGCAGTGCTCTCCTTTACTAATACTGCCCCTCTTTTCCTTTCCTTCCTTTTCTTTCTTTTCAGAACCCAGGAATATTTAACACCCAGTTCTGACCTTCTTTGATCCGGGTCTCTGTTACTGTCACAACTTCATATATCCACATGGCCATCAGTGCTCCATCTCCCCAATATTATTCACTGTACTCTGTGCATTGACAACATTTCACAGTAACACAGATTTAGATTTCATTACTTTCTCCCTTACTCAGACTTCACCTAATAACTTGTTATCGTCTATGCTAGTTCTATCCATCAAGTAGTTAGTGTACCCTTGTATGCTTCTCTAATATTCTCTCTTGGTTACCACACCCCTGACAAATTAGTTTAAAGCACAACTATAGCATTAGCAAAACACCCAACTAGGAACCCAGTCCCAGCTTTGTTCGGGTGTGACCCGTTCAGAATGTACAGGTGCCACCTTCTCCAGAGCCAGCCACAATGTTCCAGGAATATAAAACACGCCCTCATGTGCCATTTTCCAGCCACACATTTACTGCCTTATCCTCTTTTTCCTACACTCACTCACACATGGTACTGGGAGTAATCTGGAGGCTGCTATATTGGAGGGTCTGTTTGCTAATTTTCTACTGAGCTCCCCATAGTCTGATTGCTAGACCACATCCCCAGTCCCATCTAAGTCACTTGTTCTAGTGTGAACCAAGACCTCTGGCTTTTCACCCCCACAGGTGTAGAATGGCCTGCAGCTACTCAGTGACATCTTTGATCCTGGCACCAGGGAGCCAACATCCCATCCTGGTGTCATGTCTACAACCACAGAAACGTTGGTCAGCAATATAACCTCTATCATCTTTGACAGTACAAAAAGGCTGCTTAACTCTGATAAGGTAACCACTTAACCAGATCCTTCACCTAAAATACCAATTGATCAGACATGTAAAGATTGAAGGTACACATCTATTTATGGATGTGAAAGTGTTTTTACAATGAAGCGTCAGCTGTGCTACCCACATGACGTCAGAGTCTTTTTCCCGCTTGCTTTACCACTACATCTAGGTGCAATCTTCTTGGCACTTAGCACTTGTCACATTAAAACATTCAAGGCTATAGGCCAAGTGCTAATAAATGGGATTAGTTGAAGGTTTCTCACATGTTGGTGCAGATTCAATGGGCCGAAAGGTCTCTTCTGCACTCTCTGATTCTTTGATTCAGTCCCAGGTACAAAGACAGGGAGGATGGAGACTGTTGAGCCAATAGACTCTGTTAGCCTGAAAGATTTAGGTGGGTAATCCCGATGGCATTCATGGCTAGAGAGGCAAGCCATGCTTACAGTATCCTGCACTCGTGCAAGCCCGACTGCACCCCCTACAGCATTGAGGATTGCAGGTAGGTTGCAGGTAGAGGGGGCCTGGTATCTTTGAGGTCCCCAGGAGGAAAGTTTGATTGTGTAGGGCTGGGGGTAGGTGGTGGTGCTGTGTGTGGTTTCTCCTCTGTCTGGATGCCTGCTGGTACCACACTGCCTCCTTGAGGAGAAGGAGAACAGGTTCCCTCATCCCCCCTTTCACTTCACTGTGGATGCTGAGTTATGAAGGGCAGGTCTGCACCCATTTCCAATGGCCACTGAGCATTGTGCTGGACCTGGCTTTCCAAGGCAGACATAAATCTGACCATGGAGACAGCCTGAGATATGCATGACAGAGCCAGCACAATATGAATAACGT